CTTTTTGAAACGGAGGGAGTATTATTTAAGAAGTTAGTCAATGGGTGCCTAGAATTCCATCTCTATGAAATTATTAAATCCATTAGGTAAGTAAGCAGATCTAATTAATAAACCATTTCTTTAACTACTGATTATTTTAAAGGTTACTTCTTTGGATTGAAATCTGCATTTAGAAATGAGAACACCTGGACTATGACGGAAACAAAGATATGAAGACCGACTAAATCAGAGCATAAGTATCACACCTTTTTGGTTGTTTGAAAGCAATCATAACAAGCCCAAAACAAACAAACTTGTTTCCAGAAAAAGTTTATTTTTTTTGCTAAGAAACCAAACTTTGCTATAACAATGAGGATGTGCTGGTTCAAAACAACTTTAACCATCATTGCTTTCTTTCTTTCCCCTGCTAATGCTTATGATCTCAACCCTCTGCAAGATCTATGTGTTGCAGTTAACGACTCTAAGGCTTCGGGTAAATCATCCTTCTATAGTTGTTGTATGTTGTATAATTTCTGTCGTCTGTTAGCTCTTAATATATGAATTACATGCTTAGCTCCAAGCTTGCAAAAGCGGATGATTTCTTTGCTTATGCACATTAACAAAGAGTGTTTAAACCCTTTACCGGCATTAGTTAATTGTCATTAGATCTAATGTCGCTATAAGCTTTAGCGGCATATACTCAGAGTGTTAAGATGTAATTGTCACTAAAAAAACATAGTTAGCGGCAATTAAGTTATTGCCGTTAATTAATTGCTGCATAAGATCATTTTTGTTGTAGTGAATCCACAACATATGCTCACATCAGGTAGTTGTTATTGACGTTGTTACATCTGAACAACTAGTACAGCTCTACCTACATTCCTGAAAGCATAAGATAGTTGTTTATTGAGGATGTTAAATCTGAACAACCATGAAAGCTCCACTTACACCCTGAAAAGAATGGTTGGTTACTTCAACCCATTTAGGTAATGAAGCTGATCTAATTAATGAATGACTTTTTGACTACTGATTATATTAAAGGTCACTTCTTTGGACTTAAATCTATATTTAGAAATGGGAAAATACCTACACTATCTTTTTGGATCAGATTATAAATAGTCACACCTTTCTGGTTGTTTGAAGAATATCATAACAAGTCCATAGTAAAACAAACTTGTTTCCAGAAAAAGTTCGGTCTTTCGCTAAGAAACAAACTTTGCTATAACAATGAGGATGTGCTGGTTCATAACAACTTTAGCCATCATTGCTTTCTTTCTTTCCCCTGCTTATGCTTATGATCTCAACCCTCTACAAGATCTATGTGTTGCAGTTAACGACTCTAAGGCTTCGGGTGAATCATCCTTATATAGTTTTTGTTTGCGAACGAGGCATAATTGTTATCTGTTGTATTAATATTTGAATAATATGCTTAGCCAGTAACGGATCCACATAACAACTTGTGGGTTCACCGGTTAGCTTTTGTTTAGACTATGTATATATATTAAGAAATTTACTGAATATCTATAAATATTCTATTGTGAATCTGAACTTATTGTAGGAACTCATTAACTTTTATTTGACTTGTGCAGTTTTAGTGAATGGAAAGATTTGCAAAGACCCGAAGCTTGCAAAAGCGGATGATTTCTTTGCTTCAGGTCTTAATGTTAGGGGAAATGCAGTGCCTCAGTTAGGCTTTGCTGTAAATATTGTGGATGTAAACAAGATGCCTGGACTCAACACTCTTGGTATTTCTATAGTTCGTGGTGACTTGGAACCACAGGGTCTCACTCCACTTCACACGCACCCTCGAGCTACTGAGCTCATAACTATCCTAGAGGGTACTATCTATGCAGGATTTCTTGCCCCTGATGCTGCAAACATCTTTAAGAGTCGTCTCTTCTCTAAAATCATGAATCCTGGTGATGTGTTTGTGATCCCACAGGGGCTTATTCACTTCCAGTATAACGTTGGACACAAAAATGCTACTCTGCTAGCTTCTTTCAACAGTCAAAATCCTGGAGTCGTCATGATTCCTAGTACAATCTTTGCTTCAGATCCACCTATTCTGGACGATGTTCTTGCTAAAGGCTTCCGGCTTGATAAGAAAGTGATTAATGAACTTCGAAAGAAATTCTCCTAGATTATGACATTACAAAATATGATTGTGTGTTTACTTAAAGTTGTTTGGAGCGCGATGCTCATCACCTAGCGATTTGTGAAAGCGTTGGAATAATACGCTATTCTCTAATTGTATGTATTTTTTCCAGTATTTGGAGTGAACTTGTTCATTTATGGAAGCTGACATTTCCCCTAATTCTTACCATCATGTTGTTAATTTTATGAAAGCGAAATTAAGATAAATTCATAATGTAATTAGGGGTGGACATGGTAAGGTAGATATCGAATTTATTTTGTCTATACTTGTCGGTGTTCATTTACATCCCGGTTTTAATTTCTCATTCCTGATTTAATGGATCAATGTGAGGGTACTCATCTAGTCTCTAAAATCTTGAATCCTGGCGTTGTGCTTGTGGTTCCTCGGGTGGGTGTATTCACTTTCAATATAACGTAAAATACAATGTTAGTGCAACATTATTCCACTATTTCAACAACTGCATATCCAATGAAATCTCACAAAGTAGGGGTCTGGAGAGGTATAGTCTACGTAGACCTTATCACTACCTTTTGGAAATAGAGAAGCAGTTTCCGAAAGATCATTAGTTTAAGTGCATCAAATCCAAATAAAAAAAGAAGGAAACAATGAAAGTGAAAGAAAGCATAGCATATGGTTGTATGTTTTAATTAGCAAGTCTTCTCTTCTTCTATGTAGCTTACATTATACAACGAAGTTATTTTCCCAACTTCTTCCCCTTCCCAAGAGGGGGATGGGACACGTAACTATCGGATTCAATTGAATTCAATATCTTCGACAAGGGATATAGGTATATGATGAGAAATTAAAAATATTATAACTTGAAATTTTTGATTAAAAATAAAAAGACAATTACCACAACCTTGGGTGGTAAAAGATCCTACTATAAATAGTGTTACATCTCTAAAAGTTTGACATAAATACAACTAAGCCAAAAGATAAAACAATATTGTTTTGCAATGGAACCATCATATCAATGCGCTTTTTTCCTTTGCTTTTGAAGCTCCTGGATATTAAAATTATTTCCTCCATCTTAATTTATGTGGTGTTGTTGAAATTATAAGAGTCAATAATTTTTTTTTAAATCAAAATTTCTTTATATACCTTTAAATATTTTAAATAATCAATTATTGTAAATTTATAGTTTTTTCTTTTAGTAATTTTCAAATATATAAATTTCATTTTTTAAAAAAAAACTTAAAGATTTTACAACCAAACTCACAATCAAAGTTCAAAAAAATCTAAATCTCGAAATTCTAATTGTGTCACTAGCGAATATTAGAAATGACTAGATATATATACAACAATATTGTTGCGGTTAAAAATTCTAACGCTTCTGATAAATTATCCCTTTATAGTCAACAATTTTTTTAGAAAGTGACTATTAAAATGAGACGATGGAGTAATTATTAGTAAATAATAAATTAGGACAACATGCTTTGATTAACAATTGATCAATCGTGGACTTCTCATTTTTCAAAACTTTTCTGAAAAATGTACCAATTGACTAACCTTTGATTGTTTGTTAAGGTATTTAATTCCAACTGACGATTTATATCAAATCAATGAAATTAATATGAAGTGACGATACATCACTTAACTATGACGTGATATATCTGTATATGACAGACACATATTTTATATTCATTGATTGGTGTAAACGTTCGATACATAAATTCTTACCTTTAATTTCTATAACTTTACACACTTTTTGAATGTGTAAATTTACCATGCATAAGCGTAGAGTTGTGAATAAGTTGACCGTAGACTATTGACTCTAATTAGAGTAAAAATTAAATCACAAGATTCTTGATTAATTGTTACTACTTAAACTTGACCCTGCATTATAAAATGAGAAAATTACCTTGACTTTCATTTTTAATAAATGACTAAGATGGGCAAAAGGGATATTAAAACTTATCAGATCGAACTATAAGTGGGTGTTTAGTCATAAAAATTAAATACTTTTATTTTATTTTAATTAATTTTTTTTATGTGGAATTAGAATTAGAGTTGTATTTAATTATATTTTTTTGCAAAGAATATTTAGGAATAGGCTTAGTGACAAACTAATTGCAGCTCGCGCAATACATCGAGAATTCCCATCATATGAAAGGAGGGGTTGAGTGGAGCTTGAAGCTATCGTAGATAAGAGTGACAAAGCTTCTATAAGAGACCTTTTTTTGTCCAAACAAAAAAGATCTTATTATTTCGAAATCCACAATTCACTATAGATGGATATACATCTGATTTATACAAATTCCTGTCATTTTGCTATTCAATTTAGAAATATGATCACTGAAAACCTCTCGATTATCATCGCAGGGCCTGTTTTGCTTCCTCGATAGCTAGCACCTAGTGTGGTCAACACCAAAATCCTTGACCTATGATACAAAAATAGGTGGTTCTACTGATCGGTTATATCATACAGATCCGAATTAAATAACTGATCAAATGCTAACTTTCAAATAAAGTGAACAAGAATTCAAAAAAGGTATAAAATTCTCTATCGCCAAATTGGTCCTAACTCCTAAATAGTCGGGTCTTAATACAAATATCAAACACGGACTAAAACTTAAAAAAAGTTCACCAGACATGTGGAGAGAGTAATTGTGAATAAATTAACTATTGACTTTGACCAGAGGAAAAAAAGATAATGAGATTAATTAATGGTTACCACTTGAACAACTTAAACTTGCATTTTAAAAATGAGAAGATTACTAGACTTTGCTTAAGATAAATGACTAACACAACTATAAATAGTACTAGATATCTCTCTTGCAAAAAATAAAAAAGTATAACAAGCCAAATTAAGCAAAATAAACTTGTTTCCAAATTTAATAGAATTCGACTTTAATTTGTTACAACAATGAGCATGATAATAACAATTTTAGCCATTGCTACTTTGTTTTCATCCCAATTAGCTTATGCCTATGATGTCAATCCTCTACAAGACATATGTGTTGCAGTTCAAGACTTCAACACTTCTGGTAAATCATCCTTTTATAGTCATCACAACTTTTTAAGTAACCTTTTTTTTGACAAGTTATATATTTGATCGGTCGACCAACTCATATATATATATAAAAATTAGATGTATATTTTAAGTATGTTATATTATGTATTTATCGACTATTATTTTGTTTGACAGCTATACAATACATAAAATATCATTTTTTTTTGTAATTGATAAATTTTCGAGGGCTAGTGGTGCATAGTTCAAAAGTTGATGGATAATGTGCCTATACCTTTACCTTTGAAGAAATTTTTACCAATGGTTCCTTTTTAGGACATTTGTTTAGTAAATCATGACCATCATTTTATTTTACTTGTAACTTATAGAGCTCTTAGACTACGATCTAATTTTTTTTCAAAAATAAATTGAAAGACTAATTTTTTTTTTTGTATGTTATTATAAATGTTAGACAACAGTATTGTTTTATCTATAAAATTTAAAAGTATATGAGAATAACATTAGATCTGAGTCGAATGTTGTCTAAAAGAATAATTTTTTAAGAGTAATATTTGCTCAGTTTTTAAAAACATGAATAAAATCTAAGTGGGACAATATACACTTAAGTACTAAGCTTTTACGTATAACAAGTTTGAACCCACGATGTGCAACGTAACTCTCACATCACGCGCTAAACTCTTACCACTGGACAAAAGCCCTTGGACTTATAACTTATTTTTATTTTCCTTATTTTATACCATATGTTGTATAATTTGAATTTATGTAATATGTTAATAATATGGTAACATCATTTTACTTCACTTGTGTGCAGTTTTTGTGAATGGAAAGTTTTGCAAAGACCCAAACCTTGCAAAAGTAGATGATTTTTTTACTTCAGGACTTAATGAAAGTGGAAAAGTAGTGAGGCAAATGTATGGTTATTCTGTGCATATTGTTGATGTAAACAATATGCCAGGACTCAACACTTTAGGCATTTCTATAATTCGTGCTGATTTCGAACCAAAGGGTCTTATCCCACTTCACACACACTCTCGAGCTACTGAGCTTATAACTATCTTGGAGGGCACACTTTATGCGGGATTTCTTCTACCTTATGAAAATAACTTCTTTAAGAGTCGTCTTTTCTCTAAAATCTTGAATCCTGGTGATGTGTTTGTGATTCCACAAGGGCTTATTCACTTTCAGTATAATGTTGGACGTACAAATGCTACTATACTCGCTACTTACAACAGTCAAAATCCTGGGTTCACCATGATTCCTAATATAATATTTGCTTCTGATCCACCTATTATTGACGATGCTCTTGCCAAAGGTTTCCAGCTTGATAAGAAAGTGATTAAACAACTTCGAAAGAAATTTGCCTAGGTTATGTTACTATAATTATATAATTATGTACTAAATAAATTCTCCTAGGTTATATGTCACTATACAAATGTTGTTGTATGTTGAATAAATTCACCTAGGATGATCACTTGTTTGTTGTATGTTTCAAATTGTTTATGTTCCATCATGTAATTTAGGTTTTTTATTATAAAGATTCTTGCAAATGTGATCAAATTAAGTAATTATATCCTGTGATGTGATATTTAGTAGCTTCACTTATTTAAATCAAATGTTAAAATATGTGATCGAACTTTGAGAAAACACTTATTTATCATGTCATCTGTTAAAAGTTTGGCTCATCTATGTCATTTCAGTTTGAGAAATGGTTCATCCATGTCATTATTTGTTAGCTGAAAACAGTTCCGATTTTGCAAAACTATTTTTTACACGTGGTTAAATATGATTCGGCTACGTCATTAATTAAATTATTTTTTGAAAGGAAAAAAGCTCAAATATGCTACCGAACTTTATTAGAAAAGACTCATCTATGTCATCCGTTAAAATTTTTGCTCATCTATGTCATTTCAGTTAACAAATGATGGCATGGATTAGTCTTTTCTCAAATAGAAATGACATAGATGAACCAAACTTTTAACAGATGGCATAGACGAACCTTTTGTCAATCGGAAATGGCATATGCGCCTTTCTGTAACAAACCCAATTGCTTACTAAATTGATAGATGAATTTGACCGTGATTACAACTTTAGAATCGTTATTTTTTATACCCAAACTACTGAATTACAATAGAAATATGAAAATAACAAATAACTAACGATAGAGATAAGAAGCTTAGACTCTAGAAGAAGAAGAGAGGACAAACATTTTCTTTAATATGCATAATTCCTAAATCAGTGACCGCTACCCCTTATGATGGAACCATTCTCACACCCACTACTCGACCCGAATCCCAAATTAATCGTGCCCTATTGCTTGTTCTCGGCCCAATAGCTCTTTCCAGTTCAATAACTACTTGTGTGACCTTGGTATTCATATTGGGTTGGACTTGGTTCATAACACTTTACCCGTTCTAAAATAACAATTTACTAAAGTGACAATTAAGATGGGACGGATGAAGTAATTATTAGAACATACTAAATTAGGACAACGTGTTTAGATTTACAATTGATCAATCGTGAACTTCTCTAAAAAAATTCCAAACTTTTATGCAAAATGTACCAATTGACTAACCTTTGATTATTTGTCAAGTATTTAAATTTGATAATTAAGTATTTATTTCCAAACGTGCTTATAGTTGTGAATAAGTTGACCACTAATTAGAGCACAAAACCATCACAAGATTCTTGATTAATTATTACTTCTTGAACTGGAGGCTTGCATTTTAAAATGAGAAAATTATCTTGACTTCCATTTTTAGCAAATGATAAGTCCGCGTTTGTTCATGAAAATTAATTTTTTTTTATTTTATTTAATATTTTTGAAGTTGGAATTGGAACTGAAGTGGTTGGCCATAGTTTTTTCAGAGGATATTTAGAATTTGAATGTAATTAACTTTTTAAAAATATGGTTTAGACCCCAAACTTTTAAAAATTAGTAAAATTATCTAACTTAGGCAAATTTACCTGAAGTATACACAATTGAATATGCTCTTAAAGAGTAATATCTCAAAATAGATAGTTAAATATAGAGTCGTCAATATGGCTAGGTCCGTTGGACCGGCCTGACCTAATCCGTAATTTGATAGGGCTGGGCTACGATTTTTGAAGCCCATTTAAGAAAATGACTTTTTAGCCCGGTTTGAATAAGTCTGCCGATTTGTGGGGCTTGAGAAATATGGATAGGGCAGGCCTGTGGGCCAAATACAAATTAATTAAAAAATAAAAATAAAATATTGTATTAAAAATAATAAGAGTCTGAACTCAAAATCTTTTTAAAGTTTGAAATATTACGATTTAAATACAAATTATGTTTATAAAATATGTACTACATAAAATAAAAATTTCCTAAATTTTCTAGGGAATCACTACATAGGCCGTAGCCTATGGAATATTGTGTTTTATTATGATCATTGGAAAACAATTAGGTTAATATTTTTATTTAGCTATTTATGCTTTTGCTTGAAATCAAACTTAATAAATATTATAAAGATAATTTTATTTGTGGATTAACAAGTAGTAACACTAACACCATGTAATATTGTCTTGTTGATATTTATGATAATATTTTTAAATTATAATTTAATCTAAAAAATTATAAAAAAAATATCTTTTCAAGAAAAGAGGGCAGTAGCCCGCGTACTTGTGGGCTGGGCCGTCCATTTTCTGACCCACACTAAAAATGGGCTAGCCCGGCCTGACCCGTAAAATTTCAAAGCCTGTATGGATTAGCCCGGTGGGGTGGGCCAGCTCATATTGACAACTCTAGTTAAATAATGTTTTAATTAGATTTCATATACAAGCTACTACATACTATTACAATCCCCCCCCCCCCCCCCCCCTCCCTTCCCAATTTAATTTGAATTTTTTAAAGTTGTAGTTGAAGATGGATTTATGCTTGACTATAGTTTTCGCAAATAATATTTAATTATTTTGAATGAACTTTTCCGTAATAAAAAACATGAAATATAGTTTAAATGAAAATTTTCGAATAAATTTTCAAAAGAAAAATATAGTGAAAATAAAAAATAGTGGGTAAAAAGGTTTTAAGTGTTTTCTAATAGAATTTTTATGATTGGTACCCATTTTCAATAAAGTAAAAAAATCAAAATTATGTGGACTTTATCCTTAAAGAATAATAAACTCTGAAAATTATGTGGACTTTATCCTTTAAATAAAGGAATAATACTAAGACAACTATATATAGCACTAGACAAAGCCCAATTAATTAAGCAAAAAAAAAAAAAAAAAAACTTGTTTCAAAATTAATTGAAAGTAGACCTTGCTACAAATGAAATCAACAATTAGCATGAGCTGGTTTATAACAATTTTAGCCATTGCTGCTTTGTTTTCATCCCAATTAGCTTATGCCTATGATGTCAATCCTCTACAAGACATATGTGTTGCATGTTGTGAACCAAGCTGACTCGGTAAGGGCCTATGGGCTATTAAATACTTTTAATTGGGGATCCAGGCCCAATTAGTATCTCTATTAAAAAGGACTAGAAGTTAGAAGAAGGGGCAGGCAAATTATGTGAAGCATTGGCTTTCTGATCCTCTCATCTCCCTTCTATGGTCTAGTATCTCATCCCCTTCTAGTTACCTTCTTCTATGTTAAGCTACCCGTAATTAGTGTGTTATTACTTTGTTGTGTGTATTATCCGTTGTAATTTGTATTCAGAGATAACTATAAATATCAGTGTTTGTATTGGAAATTGGGTTTGTTACATTGGTGCTTTCATCCAGAGGTATCTCTAATGGAGGACCAAAAAGTACTCAAGGCTTTCGTTGGTGATTCAATTCGGGATTCAATACAAGAAATGAAGGATTCTATCTCTAAAGATCTCGCGGAATGTCGTTCGATGTTGCTGGAGGTTTTGGGGGAAAAGGATACGATCTCTTTTGAACCCAAAAACATAGTTATGAACGTCAAATTAGGGCAGTTTCGAGGTGAGAATCCGGACGCTTGGATAGTTCAAGCAGAGCATTATTTTAATTGCTATAAAATTGAGGAATATCAGAAGCTTAATGTGGCTTCGTTCTATTTTGATGGTGAGGCTTTGGAATGGTATGGATGGTTATTTCGCAACAATCAACTCGCTGGTTGGGACCATTTTGTGGACAAATTGATGATTCGTTTTCGCTCCCGTACTAGAGACACACATCGCGGGTTCTTATCCATTCCCACGAACAAGACTAATAGGACAGTGGAGTATTATCAGGAGGCTATTCCATCGTGGGGTAATATTACTAATTCATCCTCGCCTCAGTCTTATCAATGCGATATGTTTATTGGAAATTATGAGGTAGGCCACGTGTTCGATAAAATGCCTGAGAAGTGTAATGATGTAGATTTTTCGGACAGTACCTCTGTTGCTAATAATAGGAACACTTTTGAAGAAATGGACAATAGGCCATCACTAATGATTTCTTCCATGCTTAGTGTGTATGATCAAATGGTGACAGATCCATATATGTCTAATAACACTACTAAGGATGAAGCAATTTCATTTCCAAACAAAGTTCTCTCTCAATCACCTCAGTATGGTCATGACTATTTAAGTCGAGAAGGTGGACAACATGTTCGTACCATATCCTATGAGACACATCCACCACAAGAGCCCACTAGTTTGTCGTTGTCTGCTTTCAGTGTGCACAATGATCATTCTATGAACACTTTTGTTAATGATGCTAAGCTCGTGAAAGCAATAACTGTTGCGAAGTCGTGGAAGGTGGTAGTTGCTGGACGAGAGTATAATGAGTGTAGGCTCATTGATCACTTGGGACTGTTGGTAATGGACGAGGTAACTATTAAACATTTCAGAATTAGTACAACAAGGATGTTCGACGACAGTCTTCGGTGGTTTTGTGTCATTGGTTGTGGCCACAAGGTCGCAAGACCGTTAATTGGAGATCCCAATTTTAGTTGGACTGTTATTTTTAAAGAGTACCAGATGGCTGGAGTAGCTAAGAGGACGAATACATTAGTTTCTGTGACAGCCGAAAATTATAAATTTACTTGTCTTATGTCACTGGATCGGCCAGAGGTGGTGCCAACTGATTGTCCAATTGATTTTTATATCCAAACAACTTCACTGGTCGGTCGACGAATTAGGTACTGCATCTTTTCTTTAACTGATGAAGTGGGATTACATCTTAATTTTGTTCTCGATTACATCTCTGTCACTGTTCATGGTGTTATGAAGCACTTAAATAAGTTGAACCAAGGGTTGCCTTTGGTGCCAGTGAAATTTTGCACAGATGCACCTTTCCAGGCATTATCCTACAAACATCAATCTGGAGAAGTATGTTGCAGAGACATTTGCCAATTTAGAGGTGGTAAGGTTCTAGTTAAAGTTGGACAAGATGTTCAAGATGCAATGGAAGTAATGCCAATTTCCTTAATACTCTCCAAAGACAACACAAAGCTGCACTTTGCATCAAACCATCTAGATCTTTTTCTTTGGCCAAATCTATTGCTGGATGGAGGAGTGTTGTTTCACTTTACACTCGTGACATTGCAGTGTGTGGAAATTGTTACTCGTCAGATAATTTAGAGAGTTTTGGATGAATTTCATAACTTGAACCTTGAGGACAAGGTTCTTTTTTAGGGCGGGAGTATTGTTGTGAACCAAGCTGACTCGGTAAGGGCCTATGGGCTATTAAATACTTTTAATTGGGGATCCAGGCCTAATTAGTATCTCTATTAAAAAGGACTAGAAGTTAGAAGAAGGGGCAGACAAATTATGTGAAGCATTGGCTTTCTGATCCACTCATCTCCCTTCTATGGTCTAGTATCTCATCCCCTTCTAGTTACCTTCTTCTATGTTAAGCTACCCGTAATTAGTGTGTTATTACTTTGTTGTGTGTATTATCCGTTGTAATTTGTATTCAGAGATAACTATAAATATCAGTGTTTGTATTGGAAATTGGGTTTGTTACATTGCAGTTCAAGACTCCAACACTTCTGGTAAATCATTCTTTTATAGTCACGATAATATTTTAAGTTACACATTTGGTTGATCGACCAACGCTAGTCATATATACATAAATTAGATGTCTATGATACGTATGTTATATATTTGTTGAATATTATCTTAGGTGACAACTAGGGGTGACAAATGGATGGATTGGATCAGATTTGGATGGATTGAATCACAATCCATACATATAAAATATGGGTGAATATGGATTATGTCAAATATAGTTTGATAAAATGATTGTAACACATGATTTTAATCTCTTAAAGCAAAAAAGTCTTAAATCAAAGCTAAACTGTTAATACCTCAACCCCTACCACCTCACCCCACCCCACCCAACCCCACCCCACCGTTATAATATTATTTTTAAAAATATATTTATTTTTTACCTTGTACCCCCTGCCCCATCCCACCCACCCCACGACCACCTCCCCCACCCCAATTTTTTTTTTTGAAATTATTTTTGTCAACCCTACCCCCACCAGCCCCACCTCCCCCCCCAAAAAAAAAAATTAAAAAAACTTTTAAAAAGAAAAAAATTAATTTTTATTTTATTTTTTTTTGAATTTTTTTTTCCAACCCTACCTCCCCCCCTCCCCTACCCCACCCCAGGACACCTCCCACCCAGAGCCAAAAAATCACAATTTTGTATGTTTTTATTTTCAAGTGCAATTAGGGATTTTTATGATAAGTGAGTGATATATGGATTCTCATGCTTACCCATTTTGTCCATATATTTGTATGAACTTAAATAGGTTGAAGTCCATATTTACCCATTTAAGAAAATATGAGTGATCCATTTAATTTAATATGGGAAAATGGATTCATTTCACTTATATGGACTGAAATTGTCACCCATAGTGACAACTATATAGTATAATAACACCTTTTGTTTTGTCATCGAGAAATCCTAGAGGGTTAATGGCGCACGGTTCAAAGAAAGTCGATAGATAATGTGCCAACACTTCTACCTTTAGAGAAATTTTCACCAATTGTTCCTTTTTAGACATCTATTTAGTAAATGACTATCTTTTTTATTTTACTAGTTTATAGACTTCTTAAATTACCGTCTAAAGATTTTTTTTTATCAAACTGAAAGGCTATTAGACAACAATTTGATGTTTTGTCTATAAAATTTAGAAATAAATGAGAAAAACATCAGATCCGGGTGTAACGATTGTAAGGATAATTTTCTAATATTTGCTAATGTCCACTTAATTAAGTATAGGCTCAAGTGCTAATTCTCTTTCTTTTCCCCTATTTCAAACAATTATATATGTTGTATAATTTGAGTTTATGTAGTATGTTATCTCTTAATATCTTAATAATATGCTAACTTAATTCATTTTATTTTCACTTGTGTAGTTTTTGTGAATGGAAAGATTTGCAGAGACCCAAAGCTTGCAAAAGCAGATGATTTTTTTACTTCAGGTTTTAATATTAGTGGAGAAGTAGTGGATAAAAAATATGGTTATGCTACAAAAATTGTGGATATAAATAATATGCCAGGGCTCAATACTTTAGGTATTTCTATAATTCGTGCTGATTTTGAACCAAAGGGTTTTATTCAATTTCACGCGCACCCTCGAACTACTGAAATGATACATATCTTGGAGGGTACAATTTATGCGGGATTTCTTCTACTTCTACCTAATGAAGAAAACATCTATAAGAGTTGTCTCTTTGCTAAAATCTTGAATCCTGGCGATGTGTTTGTGATTCCACAAGGGCTTATTCACTTTGCGTATAATGTTGGAAGTACAAATGCTACTATATTTGCTAGTTTCAACAGTCAAAGTCCCGGATTCATCTTGATTCCTGATATAATCTTTGCTTCTGATCCACCTATTCTCGACGATGCTCTTGTCAAAGGTTTTCAGCTTGATAAGAATGTGATTAAACAACTTCAAAAGAAATTCTCCTAGATTATGTCACTACAGATGTTGTTTTGTATGTTGAAGAAATTCACCTAGGATATATGATGACTTGTTTGCTTTATGTTTCTAATTATTTCTGTCCTTCCATCATGTAACAAGGTCTTTATTACTAAACAAAAAAAAATTGAAAAAATCTAAGAAGATTCTTGTAAATCATGTGTGATAAACAGTACTTTTATATAACACCTATGTTTTTTTTTTATTTATTTGACGATTCAATATATGACCAATTTAAAAATTCATGAACCATTCATAAACATCTTAATTAGGATGACATAACATTAAAAATGAAGGGTAGAATGGTGAATGCAATGTTAAGAAATTGACCAAATTCAAAATACTCTTCATAGAATATATATAGGTTGTCAATTTTATTGATCACTAAATTATCAACTCACCTAGAACTTAATTAATTAATTTATTCCCTAACTGCATGATATCAAGTATCAATCAACAAGAATTTGATATTAAATTAAGGTAAAATATCAACTTCTAATTTTTCTTTATTTTAAGTGAGCAAGGTAATATAGATGAATGAGGTTTATATGTCACAAACAAGTTATTATCAACGTGGCTATTTTCAAGAAAGAATAAGTCTATCAAATATAATAAGTAACAAGAAGAAGAAGCAATTTGGAAAGAAAAAAAAAAGAGTTCTTTGTAAGAAACTTAATTCCAAAGTTAAATGCATATAGGTAAAAACAAGAGAAAAATAATAAAGTGCAACTTATGCTATATTATTTTTTTTAATCAAGTTTTGATATTTCGTACATTTTTTTGTGTTGTAGTTTCTAGGATTTGATCGCTGATTCCTAATTAAAGCTTTTTGTCACAATTTCAGTTTTGAAAAAATGTGTATAAATAAAAATTCCTCATTTTTGACAAACTTAAATGACTAAAACTACTCGGAAATATATTTTCGACATTACTTTGAACCTACTCCAAAAATAATTACTATTTTCGTCACCTCAACATTAAAAAATAAAATAAAAAATATGACAACTTTATATATCTATAAATAGGCTCAGATTTTTCAGTATAAATTCAATTACCTTATTATTAGCTTTTATATTAATCATCCCTAAAAAAATAATAAGAAAAAAATTTCAATGGCTTTTTGCCTCCTAACAATTATTGTAGTCACTTTTGGTCTTCTTTCTTCCTTTGGTTCTTCATTTGATCCAAACCCTTTTCAAGATTTTTGTGTTGCAGCTACTGATTCCAATACTGCAGGTAAAATTCCACTTCATTCGTTACGAACAGTTATATGTAGTTATATTGTTCGATGAAAAATATGATAATAATATAAAAAATTATTTATATTACAGGGGGACGTTAGTATCAGGATAAGAAAAATAATTCCAGGATAAATTATGAAAGTATCTTATACTATATTTGATTGAAATTTTCTATTTCAAGTTAAGTAATCTCGAAACTATTTTTTATTTTAATCTTGGTAATACCATAAATAAATAATCAAATGACAAATATGCCCTTCTTCCAAAGCCCTTTTATCAAGATCTTTTAAGAAAGTTAAGGCTAAAATTGGAAATAGAAACTTGTTTCAAATCAAACACGTGTATTTTAATTCAATAAATATTTCCAAATATTACAATCCCACTTTATATTTCATATTCATGAACCAAACGTTCCTTCGATCTATAGAAGTTAAACTCTATTTCTTTTTGTTATAATTTATTTTGCAGTGTTCGTGAATGGAAAATTTTGCAAAGATCCAAAATTGGCCACAGCAGATGATTTCTTTGTTACAGGACTTAACGTTAGTGGAAATCCTTTACCAGGATTGGGATCGTTTGTAAATTTAGTCGATATAAATCGTCTTGCAGGACTCAACACTCTTGGAATTTCACTTATTCGTATCGATTTTGCACCATATGGCCTAATTCCACCTCATACACACCCTCGTGGCACGGAAATTATTGTTGTCTTAGAGGGTACGCTCTACGTTGGATTTTTGGCTCCGGACAGTTCAAATCCATTAAAAACTAAATCTTTTACAAAAATATTGAATAAAGGGGATGTATTTGTGTTCCCACAAGGATTAATTCATTTTCAATATAATATTGGAGATACAAATGCAATTGTTTTTGGTGCTTTGAATAGCCAAAATGCTGGGCTAATTGTGGTTGGAAGTGAATTATTTGGAACAAATCCACCACTTGTGGATGATGTTCTTTCAAAAGCATTTCAATTGGACAAGAAAATGGTGAAACAACTTCAAGGATTGTTCTCTTAGTACGTAGCTTGGTTTGTTGGCTATCTGAACTTTTATCTTGTTTGTGAGGGATCGATTCCCCTTCTTATAATCTCCCCAGACCCTGTTTCCCTTTCCTCTAATAACCCCAATTTAAATAATAAAAAAAGTATACCAAGTGGGAACTATTGGTTGTTTTCATGTAATATGTATTTGTTATCAATTAATTTTGTAATGTTTGAGAGATAACTAAGAACGTTTGGATAGTTGTGTTGATGTTCTTGACCAAAATTCTTGATGAATCGTCATAATTTGTTATTAAAACAAATCTAGTGAGAGGTTGTTGATTGGAATAATCCACAAAATTATTATTTGTTTTTTAAGAGGAAGAGGATTAAGAAGTCAAAAGGAAAAGATTAATTGAATCCACATAGAATATAGTAATATCAGTAACGTTTATATATCATAATTTAATTAGTCAGGAAAGGGCAAATTAGAACAAATTGATCAGGCCATGTAACTGATAATACATGTTCACGGAAAACAACATAGCAAATTAATTAAACTCTAGTTTTTAAATTTGTTTTGTTGTACTCTTAGATTTAGATTGCTTTTCTAAGCATTGTATGCATAACGGTGACTAATTAATTGATATTGTCCGAAATCATAGACTGATCAGGATCTTGAATTGAAACTTCTGTAGAAGGAGGTGGATGGTGATGATGATGGTGGTGGTGATGGTGATGATGATGGTGGTGGTGGTGGTGATGGTGGTGATGGTGGTGGTGCGGAGGAGTTGGCGGTGGAGGTGGAGGAATAGTTGGGGGTTCTTCTGGAGGTGCTGGAATAGTTGGGGGTTCTACCGGAGGTTGTGGAATAGTTGGGGGTTCTGCCGGAGGTGATGGAATAGTTGGGGGTTCTGCCGGAGATGGTGCACTACTGGGGGTTTGTGCCGGAGATGGTAAAATACTGGGGGTTTGTGCCGGAGGTGGTGAGCTACTGGGGGTTTGTGCCGGAGATGGTGAGCTACTGGGGGTTTGTGCCGGAGATGGTGAGCTACTGGGGGTTTGTGCCGGAGATGGTGAGCTACTGGGGGTTTGTGCCGGAGATGGTGAACTACTGGGGGTTTGTGCCGGAGATGGTAAAATACTGGGGGTTTGTGTCGGAGATGGTGAACTACTAGGGGTTTGTGCCGGAGATGGTAAAATACTGGGGGTTTGTGCCGGAGATGGAGAACTACTGGGGGTTTGTGCCGGAGATGGTGGACTGCCTTGGGTTTCTACTGGAGGTGGTGAACTGCCAGGGGAATCTACTGGAGGTGGCGAACTACCTGGGGATTTTTCTGGAGGTGGTGAAGTACCGGGGGTTTCTTCTAGAGGTGGTGCAGTACCGGGGGCTTCTTCTGGAGGTTGTGGAGTACCAGGGGCTTCTTCTGGAGGTTGTGGAGTACTTGGGGTTTCTTCTGGAGGTGGTGCAGTACCGGGGGATTCTTCTGGAGGTTGTGGAGTACCTGGGGTTTCTTCCGGAGGTGGTGGAGTAATGGGGGTTTCTTCTGTAGGTGGTGGACTACCTGGGGTTTCTTCTGGAGGTGGTGCACTACCTGAGGTTTCTTCTGGGGGTGGTGCACTACCTGAGGTTTCTTTTGGAGATGGTGAAACAACCGGACTTGCCACATCTGGAGATTCATCCGGAGGAGGAGGGGTAATCGGAAGATCATCAAAAGCAGACAAAAAATTAATTGGGAATTTTTTAGCATGAAGGATATCTAGATGATCATCATCAACATTGGGTCCATTTCTAAAGAAGTAGTCTCTTCTTAGGGAAAGAGTTGGAGTAAAAAGCAAGACAAAGCCAAGGAGAAGACAAAGATGTGAATGTGAAATAGCCATTTTTTTTTGTGAATCACTAATGAGTTGTGCTAATGATGAAAAACTATGAAGAAAACATTGGCTTATATAGTTGAAGAGTGCTTAGTGGAATTAAATTGTGCATTATCTCCTCATTATATTGTGTTTACTTGCATTTACTCCACATTGACTCAAATGTAGCTTAGACCATTGGTAGCATTAAAGTACAAGTACATGAGTCCAATTTACTTGTCATTGTTTCTCATTTATATTCTTAAGAAAACATTAATTAAATAGATACAATAATTTGACTAAATTATCAGTTTTTTTCTTTAATCTCAATTTAATATTACTTTATTTTCCGTTTTATTATTTTTTTCTCTCCATATTTATTAAGGAAAAAGGTGCAAAATTAATAATTTAATTTTCTAAAATAACATCTATTTTAGATCAATTATTTTAAATATGCACAACAACTAGAATGAATTAAAGAATGTATTTTCTAATGTTTTTAGTTATATTAAAGAAATTTTAAGGCCAATAGACTTTTTAAAATATTGTTTGAACTCATGGTAGAAATCTGATTGAAATATTGATGATGGTTGTGTGAAAAGGAGTAGGGTCAAACTTCAAAGTTAACGAAAAAAAGGAGGAAATAATATGATTTTAAGCATAATTAGTCAAATAAAAATTTGAAAAGAGTAATTAAATTTTAATGCTACCAACTGTCTAAGAAGATTGTATATTATAGATGTCATTAGTATCTTTTATTAACTTTGTTTTAATTTATGTGATATTTTTTAGGAAAACTTACATAAATCTTGTTAATTCGGGAGTTTATTACTTAGATACACTTTAGTTTGTAATATTATGATATTACCAGATTTTGGTGCGTCCAGATACGTTCAGATACATGTATCTCAGGATACATGAAGTCAAAATTATGTGTAATTTGTTCTAGATACATTGTATCCAAGTGAGTTCGCATGTTTTTAGGTCGCCTACCTCCCAACTCGTTCGTCACTCTCCTGTGTATCTTATATCCTAGATACATGTGAATCACACCGGATACAGATAGATACATGTATCTAGTGTGTATCTAGTGTGATTCGTATGTATCTGGATACATAACAAATTTTGCTCGTCATCCTACCTATCTCGCTCTCCTTTCTCCCTATTTTAGCGTATCTGGTAGCAAAAATACATGTATTTAGGTATATATTCTTCAATATATGGCAAAAAGTTCTTTATTAGTAGTAAAATATGTAATATTTTGAAAGTATATTAATAATACTATGTATGATAGTTGAGTATGTCTAATTATGTAGTTTCTCCTATTTTTTACTTTTCGAGATTCAAACTTTTTAATTTTAACTGCACTTTTGGACATTGAATCTTTTAGTTTTTAAAATAAAAGTTACACATTTGGAAATTATGTAAAAGGTATTGTTCCCTCCGTTCCTTTTTACTTGTCACAGTTTTCTTTTTGAGAGTCAAACGATATAAACTTTGACCAATATTTTAAAATATTTTTTTTTCATCATATTGATATAAGAATGATTGCAACTTATAATACTTATCGTATAGTTTATATATATATATATATTATTTTCCAACAAATTATTATTGACAACAAGAACATTTTTTAAGGTTCATTTACTCTAAAATAAAATTATTATGGGAAAATTACGCGATTAAGCAAACATATACTAGCTAACATAGCTACAGTTTGCATTAATTACAATTCAGAACTTACTTCTAGCTATAATTGCATTCTCTCTCTCGCCTCTCTCTTCTCTTCCTCTCTCCCTCGCCTCTATCCCCTCTATCTGGAATCTCGCTTGCCACCCTATTTTTTTTCCAGTCATCTCTCCCTTGCCTTTCTCCTCTCCCTATCCAGTCTCTCTCTCGCTTCTCTTCTGTCAATCTCTCTCTCTCTCTCACTTTATTCAAATACAAATGTATAATTTATGTTTGTGTTTGTATAAAGTGAGAGAGACGGGATATACAAATACAAATACATATCTCTCCGTCCTATATACTTATAATTATACAAATACAAATCCTCCCCTATCCAGTTCTCTTTTGCCTTTCTCTCTCGCTTTATACAAACACAATTATACAAATACAAATGTTTTAAATCGATTCAATTTTATAAGAATTCAAATTGTATGCAGAGATACAATCGTAATTAACAAACTATAGCTATGGAGCATAATTAAGCTATTTTTGAGTGGTTATATGCGAAAATTTCCCGCTAATTTCATGTTTAAATAGTATTAGGACCTTTATTATTATTCAATTAATTAATTAATTTCTTTTTAACTAAATAATAGTCTATCCAATATATATCAAGTGGTCGATTATTGATAATTTAGTTGAGTAGAAAAAAAGAATATATATATATATAACATTTGACACGGACCATGCTATGATATATATACTTATCTATTGTTCATTAATCATTATCAATATAATGCTTCTATCGATTTTTATTTTTATTTTTTTTAAATGAAAGATATAATTATCCCCAAAAGTGTTCACTATAGTCTCATGAATCTAAATGATCTCCCGCCAAGTAAATCGCAATTTATTCTTACATTTTAGAGTAAATTTTAGGTTTAGCAAACATAAAAATTAGGGCTAACCCATCAGTGGCCCCCTAAATTTGGCACGATCTTTCACTTAGACACCTTAACTAAGCTTTGTTCATTTTAGACACCTCATGTCAAGCTCCGTTGTGTTATTTTGACACTTTTTTCACTAGCACATGTTGACTTCAAGTGCGTGTTAACCAAGAGTGTCCATGTGGATTGGATGCCCAATTATATCATGCCAACTCATTAAAAGACTATCATATTAAAGAGGAAAAATAAGAATTAAAATACATGACAAAGTAACCAATGAATAAATGACATGTGGTCTTTTATCCCAAAAAATTAAATTAAATATTTGACAAATTTAAAGAAAAATGCAACCCCCACAACATCCCCAATCATCTTCTCCATTCATCTTCTCCATTGTATTACTCCATTTTTATTATTTTTGACCTTTATTCTTTCTGTCATAACCCCACACTCACACAATCTACTCTATCATATTCCTTCATTTTCATTACCTTTTCCATCACACCCATAACCACACAACCATCTTCTCCGTTTTATTCCTCTTTTTCATGATTTTTTTCTGCCATATTCCCCATTTATTGCACCCTCCCTTAGGGCTAAAAGGTGCAAATGTATAATAACAATGGTTCATATTTTAAAGATTGCGTCTCTTTTTCTTTAATTTTGTGATATTTGCAGTTTAATTAGGGCTCAAGGTTAGTAAGATTAACATTTACATAGTAAAAATTGAGATTTTTTTGCTCCTATTTTAGGATTATTGTGGGTGAACTTTAAATGATTTAGGGTGTTGTTGATATGAGTTCGATTTGTTGTTTCTTTTTGGGTCTATCTGAGTTTGTAGTGCGAAATTGAAATTGAAATTATTATAACAAAAAATTTAACCTCCATTGAAGTACTTTAAGCTTTGAGAAATAATGGGAGAGATAATGACTATAAAATGGGAAAGAAGAAGAGAAAAAATAAAATAAAATAGACTAAATAAGTCCCTCACGCGTCAATAGCGAGTGTATAACACTCACTTTGCCATGTCAGCTGAAAGTGTCAAAATGACACAACGGAGCATGACATGAGGTGTCTAAAATGAACAAAGCCTAGTTAAGGTGTCTAAGTGAAAGATCGTGCCAAATTTATGGGGCCACCGATGGGTTAGGCCATATTTGTATGTTATAGCTATAGTTTGTATAATTGCATCAGATTTGTATAAATCGTTGACAGCCTCTCATTTGTATAAATCAGCCTCTCGTTTGTATAAATCGCTGGCAGTCTCTCAATTCAATTGTATATATGTAACTACTATGTATATGTATCAATGATTGTGTTTGTATATCTGCATAAAATTTGAATTTGTATACAATTGAATCGAAATAAAACATGTGTATATCAACTCTCTCTCTCTCTCGCTTTATACAACACAAATTATACATTGTAATTTGTATAATTTGTGTTTGTATAAAGCGAGAAAGAGAGAAAGGAAAAAAGAACTGGTAGGGAAAGATCTGTATTTGTATAATTCTAAGTGTATAGGATGAAAATATATGTATTTGTATTTGTATATACAGTTTTCTCTCGCTTTATTCAAACACAAACGTAATTTATACATTTGTGTTTGTATAAAGTGAGAGTGGCGAGCGAGATTCGCTGGGGAGGGAGGCGAATGACAACTGTTTATTACGGGTTACAATTAAATGGAACTGTGGTTATAACATTTAATTTGAATTAATAGTTTGCTATTTTATATAATTTTTCCTATATTTTATACTTATAATAATAATACAAAATGTATTTTGATTAGAAATTAAAAAATTTATTTTCATACGAATTTGACCACAGAGTCTAAATAACTTAAGTTTTTTGCTTCAACTTTGAATTACTCCTTAGGCCAACTTTTTTTTTTACTGAAATCCCACTAGTTTAGGAGCTAATTACTTAGATACACTCTAGTTTGCAATATTACAAATCTTATCAGATTTTGGTGTGTCCAGATACATCTAGATACATGTATCTTGATATACATGAGGTCAAAATTAGGTGTATTTTGTTCTAGATACACTGTATCCAAGTAGATT